GAGCATCAAAATGGGGAAGAATAGTGATTTAAATGCCTCTGAATGTGGAATGGCTGTTTGTGCCAAATTGGCTGGCCTGTGTATTCCATAAACGGATGACGTGCTGGAATTTTCAACACAACCATCTCTAGAGTTTACAGAGAACGGTCTGAGAAAGAGGAAAAATGCATTAGTGAAGCCAGATGTCAGAGGAGAGTGGCCGACTCATTTGAGCTGATGGGAAGGCCACAATAGCTCAAATAACCGCCCATGACACAACAAAGGTATGCAAAAGAGCATCTATGAACGCCAACACGAAATAGATGGCCTACAGCAATAGACAGCTGAGGCTACAATACCAATACCAGTACTAATAGAACAATACCAGCACTTTATTGAATCTGTGCCATGATGAATTAAGACAATTCTGAAAACACAAGGGGGTTCAACTTGGCTCTAGCAACGTGTACCTAATAGTTTATTAAGATATTAATAAAATAATGGTTACGTTGAAGCTACAGTTCCAGCTAGTTTCTATGGAAACTAAACATAGTCACAGAGCTAAAGGAAAAATGAGCTCATTACTGAATAAACAGGTTTTTAGTTAAAGACCAGGGTTAGCCTACAGTATGTTTGGGAAACTGAGCCTCGGTATTTAGCAGACACACCTCTCTCGTTCTCTCGCCTCTTAAGCCTGAGCTCGTCCAAGTTGCCGCCTTGTTGTCCGGCTTTGTGACGGGCTTTGTGACGAGCTTTGTTCAACCTCCACATTTGGCGGCCAGTAACAACTGCAACTGTAAAACTTCACTGACAGTTACTCATCGTATGGTTAGTGTGTAGCTATGGTAGTGGGGCAGTCTTCTTCTTTCTTCTTTAACAGTGGTAAAACAAACGTCTTTTCGCTGCATTAGCGCCACCCTCCGGATTGGAGTGGAACAGTCGTTTTCTCGGTTTCCATCAAAAAAGACTTGACACCCTCACGTTACACGATTCAGCGGAAAGGCAGTTTTAGGCCTCGTCTCTCTTAATAATCTTAATTTGTCTCACCGAGATCCCTGACACGTACAAACATATAGAGTGTCCCCTACAGCACAGCACAATCTCCAGAGCTCATCAAGTCAAGCATTTTCCCTTAATTTGTAAGAAGTTCAGCGTTTGTGTGCCCAAAGAACAGGATTTACCAGATGTAAGACTTGGGACGGGTACAGTTGATAAAAACAAAAAAAACTATGGTGTTTAATTTGTATTAAAAGCATAATATACAATCTATATAAGAAAATTTATATCAAACATTTAAAACTTTAAAAATAATGCTCATCACACACATAGAATTTCCCCTCCTTTCCCACGATAGAACAGCTGACATGTCAATTTGAATAAATATACATCTGGTTAAAAAAAAGTGTGTAATTTTTTTTAACGAAATACCAAAAGACAGCTATAGGACAGGAGTAAACCTCTTAATCAGAATCACACAGTTTCACTTCATTTTACAACTTAAATCTGCATAAAAATATGAAAGGTGGTTTAGAGAACCTAGCTCAGGATTATCACGAGGGAAATTCCTGAGAGCAAAACAGAATCCATGTTTATAAAAACAGACGTTACTCAATTAAACCCCATCTGAATTTCACTATGAGGCAGAAATATTTCAACAGGTGATCATCAGTTCCCCAAAACAACCACGAAATGCGCGTGCCGTGAAAATGGCAGCTACCGTAGAAACACTTAAGTAAAAAAACACAAACCCAAAACCCATAAAAAGATAAAAATGTAGCAAAAATATAAACGACGGATCTTTAAAGTTTTAAGTCATATTCTAACTACTGATATATGATCAGTGTACATGATCGGAAATCGGAGGACGTGATGTGACCCTCGTCCTCTGGGTCTGCGGGATGACGAGTCACACATCTTGATGATTCTTTGATGATTTCTTCTTCTTCTGTGGAGAGACGGACATGAGGGTTAGGATCCGCCAACGTTGAGACTGGACACATTTGTTTTCTGAGTAGTGTCGAGATTTGTTTTCTAAGTAGCGTGATACCTTTTTGTGGGAGTCGCTTGAGGCGGTTTCTATTGCCATGGCGTCTTGGATTGAATCTACAGGTATTTCTGGGATGTCGGCTGATTTCAATTTGCTTTTTTCTGAGGACAAATGCAAAGCAATTTTACAAAACCAAACCATCAAATTACATGTTTTGAAGCTATATGTGGGTTGTTTACTCACTTCTCTTCTTCTCCGTTTGAGAACTCGTTGCCTCTACGTCAGGTGGAGGCAGCGGCTCTGTGTTGGCGGGATTATTTTTCTTTTTCTTCTTGACACTCTTGACCTGCTCTGTTGTTTCCTCTACCTTATTATCTATTATATCCTCAACTACCTGCTCTCTTTCTTCATCAGCTTTTTCTTTTTTCTTCTTCTTTGATTTCTTTTCTTGCAGTACTTGTTCTGGATTTTCCTCACCATTAAGAAGGTCCCTTTTCCTCTTCTTTGCCTTCTTTTCTGTAGACGTCTGCTTTAAAGTCTCAGTTTCTTCAGTTTTTTGCTCTGTATTATTTTCTATGTCTTCAGCTTTTTGCTTTGAAATGCTTTCACTTGCAAATGTCAATGAATTTTCCTCACTTTCTGTTTTCTTCTTTTTTTTCTTCTTGGCTTTCTTTTCTTCTGCTATGTGCTCTGAGGTTTGGTTGTTTTCTTCCTGTTTGCTCTCTTTGTAATTTTTCACTTCCTCAGATACCTGCTCAGAATTTCGAGTCTGTGCCAAACTTCCCTCACTACCAGCCTTCTCTTTCTTCTTCTTCTTTTGTTTCTTTTCTTGTACCGTTGACTCTGAAAGGGTTTTCTCATCAGCGTTCCCTCTTGTGTTTGTCTCAGTCGTGACTGTCTCATTTCTTTCAGCATCATCTTTGGTTTCTTTTGCTTTTTTATTCACCTTCGGAGTTTTTTTAGCCTCCTCCTGCTTCGTGTCTTTGGTCTTTCTCGTCTCTTCGCCACATTCCTCTTTTCCATCTTCACCCGTCTCATTCTTTTCCTCCTTGTCTGCAATTTTCTCCTTCTTTTTCTTCTTCTTCTTGGGCTCAGATGTTCTGTCATCAGTTGTTTGTTCACTGGGAGTTGCAGTTTCCCTGTCCTTTTTTATTTGTTTGTCCGCTGGAGATGAGAGGTTTTGCTTTTGGCTGGGAGTGCTTGAGGTGACAGAAGTCACATTTTTTGTCACATTCTTCTCGGTCGAGCTCGTCTTTGTTTTTTTTTCAGTCACATGTTTCTCGCCACCTTCGTCATTGTGTTTCACTGTCCCATTACTCGGTTTAACTGGGGTTGCAGTTTTCGCCGGAGCCTTAGCCCGGGGTTTCCTGACTCTCTTTTTCGGGGGTTGAGGAGCAGAGGAGTCCAGGGCATTGATGGCATTCATCTTGACTATGTCGGCATCTGTGGACAGAGAAAACCCAGTAAAAACATCAAACTGTGCATGGTGGAACAAATGCCTAAAAGAAAACATAAACAGCGAGCAAACAGTAACTGTACACAACTCTGTTTGGATGAAATCACTCTTTTCCATGGTGAGGTTGTTCATGGGTGGTGCTGCACTGTCTGGTGGTTGTCTTTCTCTCATTAAGTGGAGGGACCAAGCTTTCCCTTCATCTTCCATCACTTTGTACATTTTCCACACCCTCCACAGTTTATTCCACCTGAGTTTAGACTCCTTCCACCATGAACACCTCGCCTGAATGCTACATCTCAGTCTCTCAATAGCGCGCTTTGACGTTAGCTCAAATGAGACATATTTTGCTTATTTCCAGCTTTACACTTTAATTCAGAACCTGCATTAGAGTATCTTTGCATGATTCTCATTTCAATAAAATCTTATTTGAAATATAAAATACAGTCTTTTCCTGAAACAGGTTATGTTAGCTCAGACCACGTTAAGGACCCCTCTTCTAACAAGCCTAATTTCATCTGATTGGATCTCTAACAGATCAAACTTGTTGGAAAAAAGATAAAACTCACCCACGTGTGCGCTGACAGCCTGCAACTGAAAATAATTTCATTACATTAAGGGAAAAATATCCTAAAGTTACTGTGCAAATAACCGCTCCTTCTGAGAGGGGCAGATGGGATTCTTTTTTTAGATATGGTTCATTTGATGTGAAATGTTTGAGGTATCTGAACTGGATGTGTCCTGGTTGCTCCTTAAGTGAGGTGTTTTGGGCAAGTCAAATATTTCTAGCCTGGCTTTGGTCACTTTATTGTCCACTCATAACCCCCTCTTCATTTTTCTAGGTTTCTTTTCATCACCTCATCCTTGACACGCTCGCCCATGAATAATGCATTCAGTGACTCACCTGTCATCTGTTGGAGCAGTTTCTTCCACTTCTCCACATCCAGACTGCTGTCAGAGTCTGAATCATCTGCACCGGCAGTCACAACTTTGTCTGATGTTCCGCTCTTTGATTTCTTCTCCCCTGTGACTTTTTTTGCAGCTTTTCCCTCAGTTTTTTTCTTGTTTGCTGGAACAGACTGGGAAAAAAAGAAAAAGAAGGATTAGCGTGGTTGGTATAGTCCAAGAACTGCCACGAAAAGAAATGAAAACAAAATAAAAATTCACCTTTTTTGCAGTTGTGTCTTTTTTCTTTTTTGATGTTGTAGACTTTGCTAAACATAAAAAGTGCAAATGTGTTAAAATGCATTCAAATACGCCAGCCTCTGGCCTCAGAGAGTTTACTGCTACAAACCGAGCTGCATTCTCTGATATGTCAGTTTTTTCACTAAGCTGTCGCCCTCATCTTGAATCTGATTGGAGGTTGTTAGGAGCGTGAATGTTTGGGTACAGGTGTAAGATGAAAATACTCAAAGCAAACTAATGTACAGAAGTCTTTCCAAATCTTGCTTAAGAATTTTGTAAGCATGAACAGCTGGATCTGGACACACATATACACAAATAAACAAATGTAGTATCTCAGATCCAACTTCAACTTTCTAATTTAATTTGTATTTAACAAAGAAAAAGAAAAATATGAACCTTTAGTTGGAGTCCTTCCTTGATCTGCTGAATCTTTTGGGTTACTGTCAGGAATAAAAAACAATAGTTAGTATCCAAGCTATTACAAAATGAGACATCTAACCCAGTGGCCGTTGCTTCTGAAAAGCACTAAGAAATCATCCTTACTTCAACCATGATGTGTAGATGTCGAGTAGTGATACTGATATTTTGGTCTCCCCCTGTAGAAAATCAAAATTAAATGTTACAACTTATTAAGAAGTTTGAAATATACAGTGGGAGTATTTCTTGGACATGGTACAGTAGTCTGAAGGAGATGTCAGCATATAAAGACATAAAAACATTGCATTGTTATGGTTATGTGTCAAATTTGAATGAAAGCAGACCCCAAGAAGGTGGTTAGGAAGGACTTGAGTTCATTACAAATGAATAAACTAGAATAATAAACACGTTTACAGAAAAGGACAAAGTCTACTACATTTTGTGGAATATTTACAAATTCAAAAACCTGTGGAGGGACCAAATGGTTCTCATTTGGGGAAGAAAAATCAACAAGCCTTCTTGGTCTGTATTACATTTGCAATGACTGCACTTATACAAATCTCTGGGCTTTTTTCTTAGACTTTACCACAAACAGCTTTTCCTGGCCGCACACTCTCCCCACTCATTTAAATTGGCCATATGCTACATCCTATTTGAGCCACTTTGGGTGGAAGCTCTTGGTGAGTAGAGTCTAACTGATGGTATTTTTATGTCAAGGACTGGATTACCTTTAAAACTAATCTGACTTTTTCTGTCTTTCCTCCAGCCACAGTCCCTCTTACAGAGGTCTATACAAGGTGAAAGCCTTTCAAGTGTTACGTTCTTAGTCTAGGCAAGTATTGAACGCAACAAGAAGTTGGCCCACTCACACACCACTTTTTTTTAAGTGGTATATAAGTCCTAACATTGAGCTCGTTTTAGCTCACAGCAAGAGGAGGATAAATTTCTTGGATCTTACGATCTTCAAAGTTATATATACACACACAACTATGTTTATGCAGAAAAATAGAAACACGTAGCAGTCTAGTTGTTACGAAAAATGGGGAGATTTAATTGAGCAAACGTTCTTCCCCGTCCACACTTCAGAAAATGTTTTTTTGTGGAATTTCATGAGGTGTGAGTAGAGGGGGTTTATTGCACAGAGCAGGAGCAGCATTTGAAACATTGTAACAGTTGCAGTTGATATGTGTGTGTGTGTGTGTGTGTGTGTGGTGAACAATGTTGACCTGTGGGCTGTGCCTCTGTAGCTCATCTGCAGCTGAGCGATAACCATGCTCCTTCAAGTGGCGGTAGATCAGCTGGATCAGCTCGTGCTTTGATGCGTTCACGGACATATTCGAGAAACGAAAAAAGGATTAATCAAACTAAGGCTAAGCTAACGCAAGTGGTATTTTCATATTAAAAGTATCCTCATGATGCTCAGAGTTGCAGCTTCTGAAACCCGCATGTTACCATTTTGAACTCTGACCCAAGGATGTGATTATTTCCTACCGCTGCAATGCACTATGGGAGATGTAGTAAGCGGGGCGTAGCAACGCTGTCAGCGGTCCGCGCAAAAATATCACGCATTCAAATGAAAACTTAACCTGTGTACACAATGCATTTCGATAAGGGGCTAATAACGGAAAGTAGTTTATATAGTCTGTTAGTCATATGTGTGTCAGAGGTTTTTTCAGCTGTCTTTTCACCGCATTTTAAAGCCATGTTATAATGAAAACTGACATTAGTATTGAACCATTTAAACCAAATCATTTTCTTTTTATATTTGTGTTTTGCTATCTGCCTTTAACTATCTTATATTCGGGCCAGTTTAGGCTCAGTTTTACCCAAAGAGGGGGTGATTTTCATGATGTGGACGAATCATATTTTATAAATGATGTTCTGGAAATTTACTCTGATTCTACCGGTAAAATGCAGACATCTGATCTGCCCTTCTATCATTACAGTTCAGCTACTATAAACACTTTTAATATAAAGCAAACAAACAATATGACAGCTTTGTGGCATGGCATGCTTCTAGTGGGCAATGTCTTTTTATAGCTACTACTTAAAAGCACCAAGTGTACAACTGGTTGCTTTCAATTGCTCCTTCCGCTGTGCAACTGTCTGCATGTTGCATGTAGAAGCAGATAAAACATGCTGTGTAATAAGTCTTTGTCTTCAGTGTAAAAGATCGTTTGCGTTCTGCATAGTGTGATAAGCTTGATCTCTTTTGTCTGTTACATTCACCCACCACTTCCTTTTTCCTGCAGAACAGGCATAGATTTATCAAGATGCTAGAAACATTTTTCTGAGAATTTGGGCCATATCGACATGATATCATCCCACAGTTGCTACAGATTATTTTGGTTGAATATCCACAGTGTGACACTCCTGTTCCACCACATCCCATAGGGGTGCTTTATTGGATTGAGATCTGGTGACTGGAGGCCATTTCACTACAGTGAACTCACTGTGATGTTCAAGAAACCCCTTTCATATTATTTGAGCTTTGCGGCATAGTGTGTTATCCTGCTGGAAGTAGCCATCACGAAATGGGTACACTTTGGGTATGAAGGGACAGCAACAATGCACACATCATTACTAAATTTTGCCAAATTCAGCTATCTACTATCTGAATGTTGCAATAAAATAATTGGGATTGTTCAGTTAGCATATGTGAAACAACGTTTCAATTTCCTGGTCATAATTAACAGGAGTTGCACCTGCTGCGGTCTTCTGCTGCTGTAGCCCATCTGCTTTAGGGTTTAACTGGCTGTGCGTTCAGAGATGCACTTCTGCATCTTCATCTTCATCTTGAGTTGATCACATGTGATTGGCTTATATTTAGATATTTGTGTTTATAAGCAGTTGAACAGATGTACCCATGAAGTGACTGTATATGTGTGTCTCTATTGTAACAGACCCTGTCCCTCTGTTGAGATGTTCTCAAACCTTACAAATATGTAAAAGCGGGACATTTGTAGAGACCAAAATCCACCTCGGCATATATGTTAAAAGGCAAGAAATGAACTGTGAGAGCCAACATAAACTGCCTGCTCATATTCAGGAAACATAACTGTAAGTCTTAAAATACACCTACCCTTTATGTCTCTGTTAGCTCGCTCTTGTGGCTCTAGGTTTCTTGACTCAGTTCTCTTTTTTAATCACATGTTCGAAAAAAACAAACCCATTACCCATCCACATAGCCAGACAATCCACAAGCTATTCAAGCAAGTGAACAAGTCAGAAATATCCCAGAAACTGCCAGAAAGGTCAGTCAACTCTATCAGGTGTATTTGGATATAAGTCTAACTTTTTGCTTTGGTGTGGGAGGACATTAATGGTGATTGGGCATGGGTACATGCTGCCAGTGAAAAGATCTGAGAAAGCTGGCGGTGAGATCTTAGGTCAAACTAAAGGAGAGTATTGGGTAAGCAGGGGGTCAGTAAGAGCAAGGCAGCTGAAAGAGACTCATTCATCAGGGAAAACCAGAAAAGGAAAGCAGTGTGTAGTCCAAGCTCAACGTCAGCACTCAGTGGGTCTCACTGAGCTTGATTTCACCATCTTCCACAAGCTTGCTACCCCTCATACTCT